GAGTTATAATTTCAAAAAAAATTATGCAATATCAAGTGAGAACATACAGAAAATATGTTTAAATCTTACAAAAATGATTCAATAAAACTAAAAAAATAGATTTTTCTGACAGTTGATGCTTGCATAAGTTAATTAAAACGTTATTTTCTTTCAGATTGAGAAAAGTTACATACACATGTACACTTATTTATTTTTAAAAAACTTGTAATTTTTCAGTATGATTTTTGCAATTCATTCTCTTGTTATTCATAAGATATTTTTATTAAATAAAAATATATCTGAAGAATCGAAAATGTAAAGTTTAATGTTATTTTCGAGTGTGAACCATTTTTAGAATTCTATTTTTTATTTTATTTTAGCAACTTATTTTTTTAAAAAAAAAATACTTCTAGAATCTAATGTATAAAAATAAAATTATTAATTTTACTAAGTTTCGTAAAATCGTATAGAATAAAAAATTATATTCTTAAAAACTATTGGTTGATAAAGCCATAACAGATGCTATGTAAGTGATTTTTATTTTACATTTGTTAAATGTTTTTAGTTTATTTTTCGTTTAGTGTCGGTTTGATGAGTGACGAGTGAACGTACCAACAATAAAAAAAATATCTTTTTTTTTTTTGGTTTTTATTTACTAAAGCCTAAAACTAAAAACTTTGTTTATGAAAACTATCTTTTTCTTTTATTTCGGATTACTGTTTAGGCTATATTTTCCAAATAAAAACAAAATGTAAGTAAGTTCAAAGAAGGCAGTGAAATTATGTTTATCGGGGTTTTTTAGGAAGACCCTGGCAGTGCTTATTTTATTTCTTTCATGTGTCTACTAGTCGTAAATAAGGTAGCAAAGTGATAAGTAAATGGGTCGTGAATCGGATTAGCTAGGTATAAGATAGTTAGTGAAGACCAGCCTCAACCCCACCTCCATTTCGGCCTCGTGCCATAATTGTATTTTAAAATAAATATGGTAGCAAAGTGATCGTCCAAGTTCGATCGAAGGGAGAAAACTCTCACATGACATTTTTTTATTCGCAGCCGCAGTCATATTTTTTAAATTTTGTTTTCAGCCTTACAAAGGAATTTTCTTGACATAAATTTGTTCGACAGTTAACATTAAATCTTATATATGAATGAAAAGGCAAGAGGAGAATTTTACTTAGTTTTTAGCAGATGCGTTTCGTAATATGACGGAATTTCACTTTATAAAGGCAAATGTGATCGTTTTTTGTTTTTTTTTATTTTGCAACAAGTAATTTGACAGTTACTCAAAATTTTGAAATTTTAGAACGCTCATAAATATTCATCAGTTTACTTTAACTGAAAAGTTAAAGTGTTAGAGAACCTAGCTTCTTCTTACGTCATAACATCTTCAAAAGGAAATTTTTAAATTTCAAGACGCTCTAACTAAAATTCACAACGCACACAAGAAGCGCTCTCCACAAACATGAACAGACTAAAATTCTACCAGCCATGACAAAACGCAAATCCGTATTTTAGAAAACAAACTAAATACTATGATTTGCAATAGCAAATGGTCCACGGTCGACAGAAAAGACCTAATCTCTAACGGGCCGGATCCAAACTATCGAACACACAACTAGAAGTCCTCAACTTCGGTCTCTAAAATTATTTGCCAACGGATTACTGAGTGAAAAATGATACCACAGATTTCATCATTAAAATTAAAAACCACCACAACTGATTTCACCAAAGGACACATATTCCAATCCAAGGCTTAATCACAGGCACGTGTAAAAAAAAAAAAAACGAACGATACGTCACTTCCTTTTAGAAAAAAAAAAACAAAAAAACTAAAGAAATTAGCAAACAACAAAACATCTATATATCTCCTTCAGATAAAGTTGGAGGAATTCATGGACGAACTCCTCTACCAACAGAAAATGAGACCTCATCGACGACTACACAACATCTACGAAAAAGTAAACGAAAACAGAGTCACGAAACAGAAACACAAATTCATAAGCAACATTGAAAAAAAAAAAGACACCTCCTGACTAAAACTCCTTGAACACCAACCCAAAATACCCAAACTATAACGGACTACTAAAAACACATAAACCGTACACTAGACTTCCACTTGAGGGATATAGGCAGTGCACTATAGCCCGCACACTAAGCAAAATCCTAACCCCTCTTCTCTGCACAATTAGTCCCTCACACATAAAAAAAACTCAGGTGACATGTTAAAAAACGTAGACATCAGTAACGGCTGAATACATCATTTCAAATTTCAGAGATGGCCAGTTTAGAAATAAAATCTCTATACACAAACGTCCTTATAGAAAAATGCCTCTGTTAGTTAAAAACACACTTAACAAAAATAAATTTACCTACCCTACCTCACATAAAATTAAAAATATACCAGTTAATCACCAATGTTTCATTACTTTCGGTGACGACTTCTATAGACAAAAGTTTGGCTTTAACTATAGGGGATTCTCTCAGCGGCGTTCTCGCTTGTTTATTATTAGAGTTTCTGTTTAGATTCTAAACTCTAATAATAAACAAATTCTAAACTTTAGAAAGTGCCCCTTTCAAAAACATTCTACCACCAAAACTCTTCCTATTTCGGATAAATAGAATCATCCTACTAATATATACACAAAAAACACTATAGTTTAACAGTTAACTGATCTTGTCAACCAATAACAATATTGAACCTACAATGACTTCACATTTGAACTTGAAACCAACCACACTCTTCCCTTCCTAGATATCCAATACCGAACTCAATTTTGACGTTTACAGAAAATCTACCAACAAAAGGATCTAGTCAACTTCTACTCAAATCCCTCTTATAAAATTAAATCTGGTATAATTATAGGTTTCTACTTAAGAGCACTAAGAATTTTCAGCCTCCAATACCTACCCAAAGAAGAAAAGATAGAAAACACATTCAAAAACCTTCAATATCCCCATCACTTCATCCTCAGCGCTAAGAGAAAGGCAAAAAAATATACAACTGCAACAAAAATAGCAACACTATCCACAATAATAAATTATTAAACAAAAACAGATACTACCTACCAATTCTATAATATCCACTATCCAAAATACTTTATCCCATTTTTAAGCAACATCCAAATAGTCACAACCGCTTCCAAAACTATAATCTATATAATCAGGTCTAAAAACACTCGTATCAATAATAGTTCAGAAGCAAGCATATGAAATAGTCTAAATAAACTGTTCTTCACAATACATTGGGGAAACATGCAGAAAAAAAAAAAAAAAAAAAAAAGTGTCTATGAACGCAAGAGACATCATAAATAGCAATTTAACAAATGCACTAGTCATACACAAATAAATTCGACCATATTTTTTTATCTACAAAATGCCACTCTCATCAAGAGAAAGTAATTTACTCTTGAAGGAAAATCTTCGAGAGTGCACCCATTGAATATTATTAAAATTTCAATCTACACATCGTTTTTCCCAATTTCACCTTTCCTGAAGGAATTACTACTTTCCGAAGCCAACACATACACAACAAATGTGTTGAAAAATCTAAGGAAAACGGCTGAATCCATCATTTCAACTTTGAGATGTATAATATTTATGAGCGTTCTTAAATTTTAAAATTTTGAGTAACTGTCAAATATATGCTTGTTGCAAAATAAAACCATCACATTTGCCTTGATAAAGTCTGTTGGCTAAAAACCAAGTTTAGTTTTCCTCTTGTCTTTTCACTCATTTTGTCTCTTCGGCAGATATACTCCATAAAACTAATCATAAAAAAAATTTCCAGTTTGTCATATTTTTTCTAAATACTGTTGAATAAAATTATATATCGTTATCATATACTCCATCTGAGAATATTCACACACGTATTAGATTGTAACCAAATGCATGCTAACTACAAACAGGATGAGAAAATTTTTAAAAAAAACCTCATTCGTAATAATATATCTCCCATGTATCCCAATAAAAAATAAAATTAATGTATTACAATACAACCAATATTGTAATTATTTGCAATAACTTCTCCCCACCAACTGAAAATCAACATTATATATCATCTCAAATGTCCCTTGGGAGAATGTATCTCTGACAGAAAAACAAATGTATCTGTTGGATATACAAGTACATTATCAAGAAGTTTTAATCTATTCGTCCATTGCGAGACATTTTTACACTAACATTTCTGTCCACATTCACAGTATAAAAAAATAAGCTATATTGGAAAGGAAAGACTTCTGTACCTTTATTAAATAAAGGTACATAACTCTATTTCCTTAGGCTTAATTGATATTCATTTTCTTATTGTTATATTTTTTTTAACGCGCTCTTACTAGTTTTCTTTCCATAAGACTGGAGTTACTTAAGTTTTTCTTTAATGATAAACTCATTTGCAGATTTTAAGATTATTATATTAATTAAATTATATGCTATAACCTTTTTTTTAAAAAATCACTTTTTTTTACTTCTTGTTCAAGTTGTGTGTGCAAAATATTTTCATTTTATTTCATAAATTCATTTCCAACATGAGTTTACTTTTAAAACCTGCACTTTAAAAAATGATAGAATATTTAAGTAATTTTACAATTGTATCGTTTAAATAAAATATCAAAACTTGGTTATTATTTTCTTGTTTATGCTTCATATTTGCTGAATGTTAAAAACTTGTGTAGTAATTACTAAAACTGAATGTTAAAATTGGTATTTTCAACTTCTTTTCATTTTCTGTTAAGATGTTTTCCAATTTTTTTAGTATCTTTAAAATTTGAATGAAAAACGAAGGAAGATTAATTCATAAGGAATACAAGCTTTCAATCACCGAAGGGAGACATCATTGTAGAGAATTATTTGAAAGGCAATTTACAACATTTAATTAGTTTTATTTGCATAAAAATCACTATTACCTTTATTATCGTTTCACTGATACTGAACATTATTTTGATCTTTTTTTTTATATCGTTTTGCTAAGCTTTTAAACAAATTAGTTCTTTTCACATAAAGAATCTTCCCTACCAATTACTGTCATGGCTGCCGCCGAAAGTCTGAAATGCTTTCGATGTAATTTGCCGAAGAAAACTAAACAAGTTCCGATCTTAAAAGATGTTACTGCTGAATTATTTCAAAAGGAACTTTATCCTAAGGTAAAAATATTCATTTTGTTTGATATATATGACTAGATTAGCTGAGTACGCAAAAGATAACGTAAACTAAAGTTTTATGGTGAAGAGAAGAATTGTCAGTATCGTTGACTAGCTCAGTAAATAAATACGCTCGGCTAAATTATTTATTTCCTTGAGATATAAGTTAAGTACTAGCAACTTCATGATGCGTTGGAATTTTTATTTCATTTCATCATTTTCAAGACCTCGCAAAGTAAATAAAAACATAGATATCAATTTTCAGTTAAAAAAAAAATGAAAAAAAGTTTATTTCTAGAACTTCGAAATTTGTGTATGTTATGTGGCCATCTCATTTTTTTAATGCCATATTGCCATGTCTGTTATCGGTACATACTCGATCATGGCTCTCTACAAATTCTTTTTCTTTATTATGTTCTGCAGTCTCATAATTGTTCTTAAAAGATATTATTACTGTGTTAGTGGGTTTCGGTTATCGTTGCGTTCTGCACGGTTTCTTAAATTCAGATTGGTACTTCTCCTAGACTGGCTACCAACCAAGTCAATTTACCCTATAGCTGGAAAAACGATGGATTTAACTTTCTCGTATCTTTAGTTTAAGTACGAAAGTTGACGTCTGAATTTGAACACTGTTTGCCAATTCTATTTTCCTCACTGATAACCTAACCATTTACACTACACAACATTTTCGTTTACAAACAGTTAAAATCATTGAAGTAGTTTTTTATTCATTGCATTTATTCTCACCTCAAATGGAGCAATTGTCTGAAATAGGTGCTGTCAATGCAATATGAAACATGTGAAAAGCATCATTAGAGCTGTTTCAACTTGAAGGCAGATAATAAACAGTGTGATTTCTCATCTTCACCATGACTGTTCATTTCCAAGCATGTCCATTTGTGTTTCTTCAACATTCACAGCCAACTAATGGTTTATATTGCAACTATGTTGAATGGACCATAGTTACAGTTCAAGTATATGCCCTAGTGACATGGGGCTTAGAGGTTAAAATGAACAGTTGATTTACTCATGTCAAAGAAGATTAATGAAGGATGATAATGACAAGGAAATATCCAGGTTATTTTAACAAAACAAGGAATTTATTCATGAATTTACATGCTTGAAGTAGTGTCAGTAGCTCATTTCAGGAAAATAAATCAGAATTCTTAAATTCCATAATTTTAATGTATTTTCATAAAGAGGAAATATTCATACAACAGATTGATCTGACACAAAATAATATTAAAAAAATGTTTAAAACAAAGGTAAGAGTTGTTCACTGAAGGGATATATGCTTTGCTTACATTTAAAAGTAGACTGAGAGAGACATTTTTGAAGTACTTAGCTTGATTGTTAGAAGCTGATAATATAATTGCCAAATAATTTTACACTGGTTGTGATGAACAGAAACAAAACATTTCACATGACTTCAGGCTAGATTGTACAACAGCTGAAATCTTGTGAATATGACAATAAAGATGAGGAAAACTGTCTGAACAACATAAATAGTGTAAACAATTACAATACCTCATCTCAGAAATATAAACAAATGCCACTGAATTTAATTACTTCTAAGTTCTTTGGCACTCTCTGAAACAATGTGCTACATTCCTTCAAGACATTGGCAATCATGCATCTCCATAGCATTCTGTCTTTGTTGCTCTATTAAAAATTTTAGTTTGTGTAAAACTCTCCTTGAGTCATAGAAATACTGAAATTATTTACAAATTGCCAGTCTCACTCATAAACTTACTTTAATATGACAAAAAAAACAAGTTAACATGTTGAAATAAATTACTATGAAGGGTGATAGTACAAAAGATTAATAATCTATTAAAATGATAATAAACAACTCTTCCAAAACAGTGAACAATGATTTCTATCATCTAATTGGAGAGAGAAACAGAGTTGGTTGAAAAAAAATTAAACTGATGACTATTTCCTCTAATAGATAAGTTCAACAATAATAAAACTATTTTACCTTTTTATGTCAGTTATTTTGGAGATGAGAAATTAGAATTATTATATGCCTTGTTATTTGGAACAACATAAACATCTTGGTTGTTATGCTCACAATATTTCAGTCATGATAGCCTCTGGATGTCTTCAGTAATCTTTTGATGATTTTAAACTGAACCCTTTATTCAATTTTTATTCCAATTTATCTTAACTTGAATTTAGCTGACAAGTCTTTCTAGTTAGTGAAATTCTTAGTGGCTGTCAATTTTGAGATACTGTTCAATATTAGTTCCTCTTATGCTTCACTAGAGTGAAAAATTCATATACTTGTGAGGATTACACCCACCTTGTCTGCCAAGATGCCCACTAGATGGTAATGTTCAGGACTATCAAAGGACAAACAATAAACACTTCCACTTTTTTGCCCTGGAATGTAGCAGTGAAAACAGGATTTCTCTCTTTTTTCCTCTGGAGGAACATGTTTTTAATTTCAGCCTGTGTCATGTGGTATATCACACACCATTTTCCAATTGCAAAGCATTTAAATGCTTTTCTTCCATCTTCAGCTATCTGTATAATTATTCTTCTTCTATCTGCAATGTCCATTCAGGATGTTGGTGATTATGGCTCTCTACAATTTCCTTTCTTTTGTAGCTCTTAATAAATTTTGTCTTTTTGTTATCTCCTAAACTTTGTTTTGCCATCCATATTTACTCAAGCTCACTTGGTAAACTGTTCTGTGAGTATCAAATTGTCCAAGACCTCTTTCCTCATTATGTGCACTAGAAATTTGAACTGTTTCTGATGTTAATTGTAGGTGTCCTTTTTGTTTTCTTTTTCTCCAAAACTTTGTTGTTGCTCACATGTCGGGTCAATGGTATTCTCAGCATTTTTCTGTAGGACACTATTTCTGTTGCAACGTTATTCATTACTACCTGTAGCACCTAGAAGGCAATCTCTTTCTTGCTTCACTTTAAACTGATATTTAAAGTAACTAATGAAAAATCAGTTACCATGCAATCTATTCTGTTGTGTCTATTGAAATGTCTCGTAAGAACAGAAACATGCTTATTCAGTGATATGCAGAGGTTTGGTGATGCCTGGAGCCAATTCCTTAATATTATGCCCTTAATACTCAAGTAGAGGTTGGGAGTTAGTAGCTACTCTAGTCTTGCTTATCAAAATACAGATCCGCATTCATACCAGTAGGGCACTTGTACAGTGAAGTTAACAAAGACAATTTAAAATTTCAAAAACTAAATTTTTATTTCACTCTTTGATTGGATGTCCTCCTGATATGGATGTTTAGTTCTATTTTATGATAACATTAGGTTGTTCTACACAGCTGCAACATCAAGAGTGAAAAACTATCTATGATTTAATACTGATTGAATACAGTAATTATGGTATAAGGTTGAAAAAAGGGAGTAGATGGGTCAAAGCTGCTTGCCACTATATTTTACCTAGCTAATCAGATCCATGACCCAATCATTTGTTACAATTTACTCAATCACCATAAAAATCTATCCATCACCATTTATCTCCTACATACACCAAAATACCTTACACATACAGGGCCCCTATTGAAAAACACCCCATGACTTAAAATTTCAATATTTACAATTGTATAAAAATGTTATGAGATGATGGGGGTAGTGATGACCTCGAAGACAAACTGAAAAAGAGTGAAAAACTGTCTTGAGAAGAAGCAGAACAAAAAATATCCAAAGCAAGCCAATATGAAACAAAAGAAATAAAAATCAATATATTATTAGACTGGTCTCTTCTATTTCTTAATGAGATATTTCATTGTGAATATGAGGCATGTTTGTTTATTGGCAGTGAGTAATGCCTCTTGAATATCTCTTAAAAAGGGGACCTAGGAATATGTTACTGATAAATATATCATATCGTTTTATATTAAAGAATAGATTATGATTATTTCCTTGCCTTTTTACTTTCAGAAATACAAACTATGCAATGCAGCAGATTTCTTTCTCTTTTCAGTCAATAAATATCTGCTAGTATACATATATGATATCAGATTAGGCAACAGGTAGCAAATTAGACTACATTTGAAAGTCTATTGCTACTAAGTTTTCAGTGACTTTTTCTCATCAGTAATCTCAAAAGAGAGAATGGAAAATTAAACACTGTGATCCAAACTAGCAAAAGAAGCATCCCAAAAGCTAACTAAGGTACTGAGAAGCAGAAAGATTTTGTTAGAAATAAAGAAAAGAGTGCTGGATTGCTATGTGTTATCTATCCTCATATATGGCAGTGAATAATGGACAATCCTCTCCATGGGTGAGGAGAAAAGTAGAGTTAGTAGAAATGTGGTTCTACAGATGGATACTGTAAATTCTATGGACAGAGCAATTAAGCAACAAGGAACTCTTAAAGAAAATGGTAACAGAAAAAACACTTGTACTCAGAATCAGTAAGAGATAGCTGAAATTCCTTGGACACATAATGAGGAAGTAGGGCTTGGAAAACTTAACACTCAAAGGCATATTGAAGGCAAGAGAAATAGAGGAAGTCAGCAAGCCACCTATCTGACAAGATGGTATGAATAGATGGTGGAATGGAGATCAGGAGCATTAGCAAAGGGAGAAAAACTGCAAGGGGCCACAAGAAATAGGAAGTTGTAAAGATTCATGTCCTGAGGGATGCAGCATATAGAAGAAACCCTAAAAGTCAAAAGTAATCTAATCTGGTAATCCAGCCACCATGTGACAATGTCGTTGATACAGTGCAATTTTGTTTTCTTTATGACCCAACTAACACAAGGCTTTTTTTTCTCTTTGTACCATTTGAAAAAGATCATTAACTTGTGCCAGATCAATTTTGATAATCCATTGTTTTATTGGTTTCATTCTTATTATAGAGAAGACCAGTTGTGTTAAGAGGTTTTGATATTGGGGATTGTGTTGAAAAATGGACTACAGAATACCTGATTGCCAATGCAGGAAACAAACAAGTGAATGTCCATGTGTCTTCTACTCATCAAATGGATTTTATTAACAAAAACTTTCTATATAGGTAAGTTTATAATAATAATAACACAGATTGTTAATGCCTAACAAGACACATTGGCCAGTAAATTACTGGAGTTTTTAAAGGTGAGCAGATTTTTGTAAAGTGCTAAGTATTTATATAAAGTTCTTTTAAAATAATTTAAACTAGACTACTCTTATATATATTATTTGTATATTCCTTTTCTTATAAGAGTGCTCTAGTTTAAATTATTTTAAATGAACTTTTTAAAACACTCTATGCAAGGAACAGAAACTACAAATTATATAATTAATGTAGAATTTTGAAATGATCTTGTCATATAAAACCTTTTATTTTCAGGACACTTCCATTTGGAGAATTAGTAAAGAGAGCTTCCAAAGAAATAAATGAAGATTATTTTATTAGTCCAGTGAGTTTTTTTATATTCTATTTAAAAAATCTTTCCTTTTAACAAATGTTTCTGTGATGATCATCATTACTTGATAATTTATTTGAACTTACATCCCAAACTTTATTACTCTTTATACATTTTATCAACTAAGCAATTCTTCAGCATTAATCAAGTGAATGTTATATCCAGTGACCAGTGACTTTCAATGTCTCATTTTTATAGCAAGCTATTTTCATCTATGACGCAGAATGCCATGTACAGTGCCTGTGGCAAATTAAATTTTAAGAATAATAGGAATTACAAACAAACTTGCTATTAATTAAAAAGAGACAGCTGAAAGTCTCATGTATAATGAGGAAAGAAGACTTGGCAAACTTAATATCCACAGGGTGCACTGAAAACGAGAAGTCAAGGAAAGCTGCGAATAATATACTTGACATGTTTGCACACAAAGTGCCACACAAAGAAAGAGGGATCTTAAATGAGCAAGTATTACTGACGGTAACAGAAAACTGGGAGCTGTGGAGAGCTGCGATTGACAATGTTCTGAAGGGATATAGCAGGCATACACACACAGATTTCTGTTTGTGTATGTATATGTATATGAGCAAGAGACAGAGATGACTTAGCACTTTTTATGGTGTCGTAATAAACTCAGCTTGTCATTTCTGCTGTTGCAGGCCAGTGTATACATTTCCCAACTTGTTGCAGGCATTAGTAACATCTGTGTTTGAAATTGAGAATAACACACTGTCTCCTGAAATACCCACAACAAACACGGCAAACTCAGGATATAAGTCCACATATAGAAAAGTAAAGAAACAACTAAAACCAATATATATGTGCAAACAAATGATAATGTATTAACAATAAAGGGTTACAAGTAACAAAGATAAAGATGTGTGTGTCAAATGAATGTGAAAATATCTCAAAAGTATAAAAAATATAAATCTTAATAAGATCTTAAAAGTATAAAAAATATAAAGCAAAGTGACTGCAGAATACGGATTAAAAAAAATACCATAAAATTGGTAGATTGAAAAAATATAACAAGGAATTAACAAAAAAGTGTTCAATGGTTACTGATCCTTGCTCTTCAGAGCCAATCAGGAACAAACTATTTGCACAACAACTAAAAGAAAGAGATAGAGGGGAAGAAAAACTTGATACTAGAGAATCAACAGTATAAATTACAGGGAGATTACATTTAAAACCAGCAGCCATTCCTTCTACTTAAATGATCTCAAGAATTCTTAGATATTATCTGAATGTGTTTTGCTGGTTATGGTGAAAAAATCCCTGGTGAAGTACGAGACATAGATCAGATTATTTATTAACAGAACTGGGTGTATTCACAAGTTTATACAAATTTTCACACTGTTCTTGATGTATCTTAGCTGGCACATGCTGATCAACACTAGTCTCTAACCTCTGATTGGTTCTGCCAATATATTCAGCATCACACTGACATTTGTAATTACAGATAGCTGAAGTAACATGATGCAGGGTTTGAGCAGAATATTGTTGCAGATGGAATTCAGCATAGGTTGGGAGGTGAAAACAAGCTGTGGATTGGCAGAAAAATAGCACGGCTTCACATTTTGGATGGTTTGTCTTGCAAATCTAGTGCTAACCTTATCAATTTACAGTAACTATAAATAGACATGACATTTTTTTGGACCATGCAATTTCGGCTTGTTAAATTGTGCAACTTTAGCACTAACACAAATGCTAGATTGCATAAGGTTTAGTGGGTAGACATTTTCCTTCCAAACCTTCATAATGAACACAATTTCTGAATTTAATTCCAAACTGAACAAAAACAGTCTGCCCCTGCAGATTAAATAAATAATCTGCAGAGCTGACTGTTTTTGTTCCACTGCCCATGTCTCGGCATATCTCATAAGAACTAGACGAGATATCCCTAGACCTGAGCAGATTAAAGAAAGGGTTCAGTTTGGAATTCCCTGTAGGTTACCTAGATCGAGATACACCTGATGAAGGCCAGAGAGCACAACGGCTGAAATGTTGTGATAACAACAACAAAGATGAGGACAATAATCCAAATGTAGATAGTGTAAATAATGATATTTCCCTATCCCAGAAATTCAGACAGAAATTATTGAAACATTAATAAAACCCAATTAGATTTTTTTTTAAATATTGATTACATAAAAATTTATTTTTTAACATTTAACTTCTATTTTAGAATTTGTTTGATTGGCTAATATTATTAGATATGATGTCATTATTTAGATGTCATGAAAACTGGTATCTTGATTTTTAAATACTGGTGCTTTTGTCATGAAAGCTAATTCTCCAAATGAATTGTCTTTACTTTAGTTTCTCTTTTATTTTTTAAATTTCTTTTCCAGGATGAAAAATATTATTTGCGTTCCTTGGGAGATGATCCTCGAAAATCTGTAGCTGATGTCCGCCAGCAGTTTCCTCATTTAATGAAGGACTTGAACATACCACCATTATTCCCTGCCGAAAATTTCTTTTCAAGTGTCTTCCGAATAGCTTCCAAGTCCTGTCAGCTTTGGACACACTATGATGTTTGTACTTTTTAACTTTCTTTTTGTTGAATATTGCATCTAATTTCTTTTGTTGGTGTCTATTAGCAAACACTTGAATATATATATATATATATATATATATATATATATATATATATATATATCCAAATGAGAGAAAGAACAGATGAAGTGAAATTCCACTTTTTATAGCATTTGCTTTTTTAAAAAATGATCTCAATACAAAGTAGAGCAATATATTATTACTTTATTTTAGATATTAGAACAAAAACATGTTCAAATCACTACACAATAACTTTTGTGTTTCAGTACTGCACTGTACCTCTTCAGGCAAATGGTAAGTGACTGGTGATTAAATAATTTTTTTTAAATTTCAAAAGCAAAATGTTATCTCTTTTCTGAAGGGTAAAGAGAGAAGTAAGAAAACACATGGTCAGAATTAAAAATAGACTCGTAGGTTTGTCATGATCAACCAATTAAATGTCAGATCTATATTAAATACAATATTAAACTCAGAGGGTGGAGATGGGGAAGTTATTTTTTCATGACATGATTAACCAAAACTTAGACAGGTCATCATTGACAATTATGGAAAACATAAGCAACAAATTTATTGTGATTGTAGACAAATATGGCATGTTCAATTTTTCAAAGGACTCTGAGGGGAGGAGAAGAAGGATAATCAGACATAAAGTTAATTTCAGCAGAAAAAATTATTTATAAATTATGGCCATAAGAAATGGAATTACCTAATTTTTGAAAAAATTTAACTATATTGTAAGGTAAAAGATAAACTGTGTGAGCAATTTACAGTTAATTCACTTCTTTTATTGGTTTATCATGTCATGAAAAAAATTTCCTCTGAGATTAATTTTCTATTTAGTGCAGATCTGACATATAATTGGTTGATCAAAACAAACCTACAAGTCTATTTTTAATTGTGGCTATGTTTTCTTACCCATCCACCTTTGTCTTTCAGAAAAGAGGTAACATTTTGCTTTTTAAAATTTTTTTAAAATTATTTAATCACCAGTCATGCCATTCAGAAGATAGTGTGAATAAATATTGAAGTATAAACTATATCAGGCTTGTTTGTTTATCAAATATTGATTATGTTTGCATGATTTTATTATTTTTATCTCTTCCACTTTAAAATTGTCTGCAGAATGAGGCATCTTCTGAAATTTTCAATAAGTTTTAGAAAAGAAAAATTTTTAAGAAGTTTCTTTTTCCATAATTGATTCACACTAAGCAAAGTGATAATGCCACTAAGACACAACGGGCTACAGGAAGTGAAAGGAGAATGAGAAAACTTTAGAAGGAACCAGAAATCCAATCCTGAACAGGAAACAAGGAATAAACCTTTACTCCTGTTCATAAAACCAGGGAAGAGTGTGAACCAGACTTTAGAAAGGAAAACAATTATTTGTTTTAGAAATTAAAAAATGATAATATAGTAGAAAAAATTTCATAAAATTAGTCTATTTTTTTTTCTTAGAATGAACATTAGAGGAAAGCAGCTTTTGTCCAATAAAAAAAAGATTAACTTTTCTACTTTTACTAAAATTTTCTTGAATGTAAAAATTCAATGTGCCTGTTATTTTTATTTCTTTTGAAAATTGATGTGTTGTTAAGAATAAGGCAATCTGGTTAACATGTGTGATTTTGTGTACTTTTTATCATCATCATTATAATATTTATTTTCAAAACTGCTAAAATTTTAGAAAACGTGAACATAAAAAGAATAAAGTTAACAAACGAAGCTTATGTATGCTTAGTGGAAAACAAAAAGAGACATCCCTGGCAAATCTTAGTGGCTTGTTAAATAAAATACAGGGATATTCTTATTTGAATCTTACAGTGTATTGATAATGAAACAATAACCATATCAGACAGTGAAAGATTTTAAAAAAAAAAAAAAAAATGGATGGATAAATTTTGATTCTATAATTTAAATTTTTTCAAAGGTTGATTATGATCTCTTTGGTAGGCCATGATGTAAAAAAACCTTAATGGTATTATGACTTAAAAGTTCAACTAAAATAATTCATGATGTTAGGTCTACTTAAGATTTTAATTAAAACTATTAAAAATAATGATTTAACTTAATATGAACTTAAGAAACAGTTACTTAATTATCTCTATGGATCTCATTTGAAAGAAATGATTAATAATATAAGATTTATTTTATTTATATGTCTGTTCTCTTTTTTAGGTTATGGATAACATATTAATGCAAATACGAGGTCATAAAAAAGTGGTTTTATTTAGTCCACAAGATGCTCACTTTTTGTATCTTAAAGGTAAATCAAATATCAATTACACAATATTTCATTGGTTAATCAAGTCATAGTGTGTCAGAACAAAAATTTGCAGTGAATTTCTAAGACAATATTTACATATGTTTATATACATTTATTCAATCATATATGTACCATTCTTTTCTACTACCTTTAACTATTTTTTAGACAGTTTCATGATTCCATCCTCTCAGAACTTGGCATCTTTCTAGGTGGTTTTCTATAAGTATTTTTCACAAGTTTCCAAAGAAGTTCTTCCCATTAAGTGAATTATATAGGGATTGAAATAAGTGGTAATCTGAAGGTGCAAGATCAGGTGAGTATGATGGGTGTAGTAGGACATTCCAGCGAAGCCGTACCAATTTTTGCCAGGTCAGCAAAGAGACAAGGTCTGGTTTTGTAAAAATGGAAGATTTTCTGATTGACCAATTTTTGATTCTTTTCATCAATTGCTGCCTTTAATTGGTCCAAATGGGAACAGTACTCATCTGAATTCAGCATCAGATTTTACAGAAGGAACTTGTACTACACAATACCTTTCCTTCCAATCCAACCAAATACACAGTATCACCTTCTTTGGGGGCAGACTGACTTTTGGAGTCATTAACAGTGGCTCATTTCATGCCCTCCAGCATTTTTTTCATCCCACAATGTTGTAAATAATCAATTTTTTATCATCTGTAATTGTCCTTTTCAAAAATGGATTTTTGTTGTATTTGAGCAAAGAAGTGCAGATAGAAATATGATCCATTAAATTTTTTTTCTGTTAAATTATGAGGGACCTGAAAAACTTAGCAATTCACATACTCAAGTGTCTTTAAATTCATTATAATGCTCATATGAGACATTTGGAGTACCTCTGCAATATCCTGTGTCATGTGACCTGGATTATTTTTAATCTGTATTTTGATTTGGTCATCATCAACTGCAAGCCTGCAAGAACATTCCCTGTCTTTCAGATCAAAATTTCCACTTCCAAATAGTACTCTCAGCTATGACACCATCTCTATAAATGGCACATAATGCTTTTTGCTGTTTGTACAGGTCTTTTTTCCTTCTTGGAAATAAAAGAGCATCAGATGATAAAAAGAAATCTCAGCTTCCTCCATTTTCACTTTTAACATAAAAGCATTTAAGATTCACAATTCGCACAAATTTTATAGAAAAAGATGTTGAAATGTCACTTTACAAAATATGTACATATGTCATAAATTTCAGTCACATATAAAGCAAAATCATTTGATCAAATGTTATCTATTGAAAAACACTACTGACTTTTGTTCTACCCAATATTTATGTAGCATGAGCATTGTAGATTTGACAAGAACTTGATTGCTTTATTGCTTATGTTGGTTTGAAATGGACTTCTACAATGATTGGATATCAGAAATGTTTTACAGTCTAAGTACATGATGTGCAGTGTGATATAATGGATAATGGCTTGTGATAAAAAATCGGAGAGCTGAGTTCAAATTCCAGTAGGGCTTGTTACATTCACTTATGTGCAAATACCCTTGGGAAAGGTATGAACCCATCTCTTCTCCCTCCAGCTATGGGTTGAATAGCCTTGGGTAGTAACCAGTTTACTGCAGAAAGAAATGGTAACCTACTGTGAGAAAATCTTCTGCCTAGACAGTCATGAATAAAAAAAAAGACATGATCACCCAAGTGTGTATCATGTATGGCACTTAATTGACTGAGGAAGATCCATTCTAACTTTGAAATATTTTTATTCTCTTATCTCAGTTGGTATTTGCATCATACTGATACTGTCAATTTTTCTGGAGAACTTATGGTTGCAGTCTTCAATAATCAATCACTCAGTAAAAAAAAAAACCTCAATTTCTCACAATCATCAGTCCATTGTTTTAACCACTGATTACTACAGGTTAATGATTTGGGTATTTGTCTTTCAAGGCATGAACAGTGGTTACCTACTGGTCAGTATCCATTTTTATGATGAAACTAATAAATAGCAAAACCTGTCAAATTAAAAAAAACAAAAATTGAATTTTTTTTTTTTTATATATTTCCATTTCTATTCAATAACCCTCTATATTGAGTGGCTCCTCAGTCTTTTTTGGGGTGAAAATTTCTTTTCAAGTGTCTTCTAAATAGCTTCCAAGTCCTGTCAGCTTTGGACACACTATGATGTTCGTACTTTTTAACTTTCTTTTTGTTGAATATTGCATTTAATTTCTTTTGTTTATGTCTGTTAGCAAACACTTATCGCACCCGGCCGGAAGTTACTGCCGGCTACTCAAACATCTAAAAGCGTCACCGCGGAAAACATAACGAATGCCGTTAACTTCCGGTGACTAAGCGTTTTTCAGTCAACGTCTCACACAAACTAAGAAAAAACGAAACATTTACATATACTAACTTTCCTAACCAAAAACAATTACCAGAAACTACTTTATATACACATGGTGTCCGAATGGAATCCATGTGTACAGCCAAAAAGTAGAAGGTAATTTTCAGTCATCACCCCAAATATATCGCTGACAGGCTACGTTGCCGACCTCAGCCTATATATACACAGCGGATTTTTTTCCACCAAATTATTCTTCTCGGCTGATTTTTTGGCCTCGGGGGTTGAGCGACGAGCTCCCCCCTCTCACCCACGCTGACCACACGAAGCAGCAGCAGCCAAGGCCAGCAGACATCAGCAGCAGCTAGAGCCAGCAGAGCAGTCCGGCCTCCTCATCAGCAGCAGCCAAGGCCAGCAGCAGCAGCAGCAGCAGATAGAGCCAGCAGAGCAGTCCGGCCTCCTCATCAGCAGCAGCCAAGGCCAGCAGCAGCAGCAGCAGCTAGAGCCAGCAGAGCAGTCCGGCCTCCTCATCAGCAGCAGCCAAGGCCAGCAGATATCAGCAGCAGCCTATCCTCGGCTACATGATATGCACTAGTCTATCCTCGGTTACATGATATGCACTAGTCTATCCTCGGCTACATGATATGCACTAGCCTATCCTCGGTTACATGATATGCACTAGCCTATCCTCGGTTACATGATATGCACTAGCCTATCCTCGGTTACATGATATGCACTAGTCTATCCTCGGCTACATGATATGCACTAGCCTATCCTCGGTTACATGATATGCACTAGCCTATCCTCGGTTACATGATATGCACTAGCCTATCCCGGTTACATGATATTAGTCTGCCCTCGATTACATAATATGCAATAGTCCTTTTCAGGACTAACCTAGCCGCGTCCTTTTATTAGGACTACCAAGCTGCGATCCTGCGCGACACTCCACCCAAGGACGAACTGACTACACCACAGCACTGTCCGCGTCGATCCTCTCTCTCTTTGCAAGTACAGACATCCAGGGATCGACTGGACCTCGAACATCCCTGTTTCCATTCGGCCTACCTCCAAGCTGTCGCCTTGAAACCTGACAACGCTCCTTCAAGACTACACGACCGAACTACTACAAACGATTATCTGTATATATTCGTGCCAGATTTATTTAATAAAATTTGGCTTAAACTTTTACATCCTCGTTTTTGTTGTCCTTGCTTCGATCGTATTATCTTATATTATTTTTCCGTTTGCGGGGTTAACAGTCAACCTGCTTAGCGTCGCAACAAGTGGTGACCCCGATATTTACGATCGAGCAAGATGGCAACTGACGAGTGGGAACAGAACACTCTCATAAATGTGGCAATGCCACTCACAAACCTCCCTCCGTACAACGAGCAGAACACCAAGAACTGGTTTTTACAGCTGGAAGCCATTTTCTCGGTACGGAAAATCACATCACAACAAGCAAAATTCGTCAACGTGGTACAAGTTTTGCCACCTTCAGTTGTCGACGAAGTAGCCGACATCTTGGAACACGTACCCGAGCAGGAGCCATATACTCGCCTCAAGGAGGCTATTCTGAAACGAACCGGCCGTTCGGACGAGGAACTGCTCCGGGAACTTTTTACCCACGTCACCAGGGGCGACAGAACACCCTCACAGCTTCTACGCTTCATGAGGAGCCGACTGGGGAAACATTCCATGGCCGAATCAATCTTGCGCGAACTGTGGATGGACAAGTTACCCACTACCATAACGCAGATATTGGCACCAATCGCTGATAACACTCCACTGGACCAGTTAGCAAACTCCGCTGACCGCATCGCAACTAAACTGGACCAAGGGTGTGTGCCGTGCAACGCCCAGACGACACATCAGCCAAAGAAACGGACCTGGAAAAGGCAGTAGCTGACCTGCAACATCAGCTGCAGGATATACGAATGCTCCTTTCCCGCACATCGAGAGGCCCGATGCCGGCGACCGGCGGTTGGCGACGGAGAGCACGGAGTACCAGCAGGGGTCGACGAGTCGACCCGGAATTATGCTGGTACCATCACAGATTCGGCACCAGGGCAAAGAATTGCTCGGCACCCTGCAAATACAGCTCCAAAACCAAGTCGGAAAACTAAACAGCCGGCGGGTAGGAGCGGCAGAACCCCGGCAAAAAAAACATACGAAGCCGCCTTTTCTACGTATGGGACCGACGGAACAACATAAAGTTTCTAGTGGACACAGGAGCAGCTATCAGCGTGATACCCCCAAAGAACAGCAAGACCGAAAGGCGACCCTGTATAAACTCCAGGCAGCAAACGGCTCGACGATCGAGACATATGGAGCCAAGACACTGACTCTGAACATCGGTATGCGGCGCGATTTTACATGGACTTTCACCCAGGCAGACGTAAAAACGCCAATACTCGGTGCAGATTTCCTGGCCCATTATGATCTAGCCGTGCACATGAATACGAGAACTTTATCAGACAATACCACGAACATTGCTGTTAAAGGCACCCTCTCTCGACACAACACCACTGGGATCAGTGTGACAACTTGCCACGGACGAGAGTACATCGAGATCCTAAACAGATACTCGGACCTCATTCAACCACTCGCAGGTACCGGTCGGCAAGACACCAAACACAGCACCATATAAAGACCAGTGGACAGCCTACATTTTTTCCCACCCACGACGACTTCCTCCTCATAAGCTGGAATACGCCCAAAAGGAGTTTAACAACATGCTGCAGGACGGATTTATACGACCCTCCGATAGCCCATACGCCTCACCCCTACATCTCGTACCTAAGCCGGGAAGCACAGACTTTAGGGTATGCGTCGATTATAGAAGATTAAACGCTACAACCATACCCGATCGCTATCCGGTCCCGCATATTCACGATTTCGCCTCAGGGTTGCAGGGCACTCGCGTCTTTTCGAAGATAGACCTAACTAAGGCCTACCACCAGATCCCCATAGCTCCGGAGGACATTCCAAAGACAGCCGTAACCACTCCCTTTGGTCTCTTTGAATACCTCAAGATGCCCTTTGGCCTGAGGAATGCTGCACAAACGTTCCAACGCTTCATAGATGAGGTACTTCGCGGCTTAACGTACGCGTATGCCTACATCGACGACATACTGGTAGCCAGCATAGATGAGAACACACACAAAAAACATCTAAACGAAGTGTTCCAAAGAATAGCACTTTATGGACTCCGGCTGAACATGGACAAATGCACTTTCGGGGCATCTGAGGTGAACTTCTTAGGCCATCATATCGACAAGGACGGTATCACACCATTACCCGAGAAAGTCGACGCGATAAAAAACTTCCCTACGCCGACATCCACAAAGCAAATCAGACGATTTATCGGTATGATAAATTTTACCGCAGGTTCATCCCCAACTGCTCGACAATTCTCTCCCCGTTAACAAACATCATAGAGCGGAAGAACAAACAAATTACCCTAGAGGGAGATACCTTGCGGGCTTTCGAAACGGCAAAGACAGCGCTGATAAACTTCACAAAACTCTCATTCATCGAAAACGACCCGGAAACAAGAATTTTCCTTACAACAGACGCTTCCGACGTTGGAATAGGAGCAGTAGTGGAGCAGCAAGTGAACATGACGAGACAGCCGATAGCCTTCTTCTCAGCTAAACTCTCTGCAGCCCAGAGAAGATACAGTACCTTCTCACGAGAACTCCTGGCGATCTACCTGTCCATACGTCATTTTCGACATCTTCTGGAAGGCAGACATTTCACTATCTTCACGGATCACAAACCACTGATCAACGCGATGAATGTCAGCGCAGACAAGTATACATCCCGTGAAACACGTCACCTCGACTACATCTCACAGTTTACGACGGACATCAGACACGTCCAAGGAAAGAACAACACCGTCGCAGACACATTGTCCAGAACAGACGTCAATACCATGGATAACGATGTTTGGAGCCAGGAGCTGATAGCCGACAAACAAAAAGACGATACGACGATACCTGACATCATTAAGGAGACTTCTTTGAAACTGCAGGAATTCCCGTGTCCGTTCAGCGATAAAACTCTTTTCTGTGACACCGCACTGGATACTCCAAGACCGTACATTCCTCCATCTCTTAGAAAAAAGTATTTCTCCATCTCCACAATCTATCCCATCCGAGCAAGCGAGCAACCGTCAAGCTTATCGCCGATCGATTTGTGTGGCCCAACATGAATTCAGACATTAGGAATTGGGTCTCAACCTGCATACAATGTCAGAAATGCAAAATTCAGAGGCACACAAAATCACCAGTTGGAACATTCGCCACACCCGACGCACGTTTCAGCCACATCCACGTTGACCTCGTCGGGCCTCTACCAATGTGCCAGGGGTACCAATACCTTCTAACAATCATAGACCGTTTTTCGAGATGGCCAGTCGCTGTGCCGATTAAGGACATTTCCGCTACCACAGTTTCTAAAGCCATTCTCACCAACTGGATTACTAACTTTGGCGTACCACAAGTTCTCACTACAGATCGGGGACCACATTTCAGTCCTCGCTTTTCCGAGAATTCTCTCAACTTTTGGGTGTCAGACACATTAAAACGACGGCTTACCATCCTTGCGCAAACGGCCTCGTGGAGAGATTTCACCGATCCTTAAAGACGTCCCTGTCAACCAAACTCGACATACACAACTGGGTCGACAACCTCCCCATGACCATGCTCTCTTTGCGGAATACCCTCAAAACGGATTTAGGGTGTTCGACAGCAGAGCTCGTGTTTGGCACGCCTCTCTCCTTACCAGGGCAATATTTTCACCTTCCGCAGTACTCTTGCACATCCACACCAAGTTCTTTCGTGCAAGATCTGCGCCACAAAATGGACAAACTTACATACACTCCCCCACGAAAACAAACCACAAGCTCCTACTTACCACAGAAATTGGATACCTGCGATTTTGTTTTTGTTAGGAACGACGCCGTAAAAAAACCTCTCACACCTAGCTACCAAGGCCCTTTCAAAGTTCTGAAGCGTTCTAAGAAATTTGTCACGATCATGCGCGGCAAAAACAAAGATACAGTCTCCATCGACCGACTTAAACCAGCTTGGTTAGAGGAAACTTCTCCCGAGCCAGACTTACCAACAACGACGGAAGATGAAACAACAACACCAGTCGTACGAACAAAATCAGGCAGAAGAGTTCATTTTCCTGCCAAACTAAAGACTTACATTCTTTTTGTGAATTGATCACGATCAATCCTCTAGGAAGGGGGCCTTATCGCACCCGGCCGGAAGTTACTGCCGGCTACTCAAACATCTAAAAGCGTCACCGCGGAAAACATAACGAATGCCGTTAACTTCCGGTGACTAAGCGTTTTTCAGTCAACATCTCACACAAACTAAAAAAAAACGAAACATTTACATATACTAACTTTCCTAACCAAAAAACAATTACCAGAAACTACTTTATATACACATGGTGTCCGAATGGAACCCATGTGTACAGCCAAAAAGTAGAAGGTAATTTTCAGTCATCACCCCAAATATATCGCTGACAGGCTACGTTGCCAACCTCAGCCTATATATACACAGCGGATTTTTTTTTTTCCACCAAATTATTCTTCTCGGCTGATTTTTGGCCTCGAAGCAGGGTTGAGCGACAGAGCCCCCTCTCTCAGCCCCACGCTGACCACAGAGCCAGCAGAGCAGCAGCAGCCAAGGCCCAGCAGACATCAGCAGCAGCTAGAGCCAGCAGAGCAGTCCGGCCTCCAGCAGCAGCCAGCAGCAGCCAAGGCCAGCAGCAGCAGCAGCAGCAGATAGAGCCAGCAGAGCAGTCCGGCCTCCTCATCAGCAGCAGCCAGAGCAGGCCAGCAGCAGCAGCAGCAGCTCAGCAGCAGAGCCAGCAGAGCAGTCCGGCCTCCTCATCAGCAGCAGCCAAGGCCAGCAGAGCAGATATCAGCAGCAGCAGCAGCATCTAGAGCCACATGATATGCAGCAGCCTATCCTCGGTTACATGATATGCACTAGCCTATCCTCGTTACATGATATGCACTAGATACATGATGCACTAGCCTATCCTCGGTTACATGATATGCACTAGCCTATCCTCGGTTACATGATATGCACTAGCCTATCCTCGGTTACATGATATGCACTAGCCTATCCTCGGTTACATGATATGCACTAGCCTATCCTCGGTTACATGATATGCACTAGCCTATCTTTTATTAGGACTACATGATATGCAATAGTCTGGTTACATGACAGATTACGATAATATGCAATAGTCCTTTTCAGGACTAACCTGGAGCCGCATCCCTTTTATTAGGACTACCAAGCTGCGATCCTGCTCCGACACTCCACCCAAGGACGAACTGATTCGTACAGATACATAACAGCACTTTTGTCCGCGTCGATGTTGTCCTCTCTCTGCAATTACAGACATCGTTTAGGGATCGACTGGACCTAGAACATCGCTGGTTCCATATATGGCATGAACCTCAAAAAAAAGATTGTCGCCTTGAAACCTGACAACACTCCTCCAAGACTACACGACCGAACTACTACAAACGATTATCTGTTTTTAATATATTCGTGCCAAATTTATTTAATAAAATTTGGCTTATTTGTTTTTTTTTACATCCTCGTTTTTGTTGTCCTTTTTTCGATCGTATTATCTTATATTATTTTTCCGTTTGCGGGAGATGTGGCATTTTTTTTTTTTTTAATATAAATTGGAGAATCTTTTGTTGTAGCTATTTTTTCAGTCGATGTGCATGAACTAAATTGTTCAATAAATCTTTTCGCAGCTATTATCCCAGAAGTTGCACGTTATTGTTTTTGTGTGTGTGTATATATATATATATATATATATATATATATATATATATATATATATATATGTACACACACACACATAGATACATACAATAAAAAGATAAAACACTATATCCTACTGCACTACCTTGGTTTCGACTGTGAGGTCTCATTAGGTGGCTAGGTAACTGGAGATATATATATATATATAAATTGAAAAATTTTGCCACTTTTGGAGCTATTTAGTTAACTATGTTCATAAAAAGACAAAAAGAATTTATTATAGTTGAATATTGTTCTTAAATTCAATTTGTTATGAAGTAAATACACAGAAAAATTGATTAATCTTTCTTTTTTTCCAGGAGATAAATCTGAAGTTTTAGATATTGATGACGTAAATACACAAAACTTTCCACTGTTTACCAATGCCACACGCTATGAATGTTTGTTAGAGCCAGGAGATATCATTTTTATTCCAGGTAAGATTGGATAGTCATAATTGCATTAAGTAGTTGAAAAAGTTCTTAGTGCCACTTTTCATAGGATTTTAGGGAAATCTTAGAAGTGTTTTTAAAGTTTACTTAGCTCTTTATTGCTTGTGTGCATACACATTAAAAATTATTTGTGGAAAAGTGATAATTTTACCTTATTTTGTTGACCATACTGTATGTAAAAGTGTACATTAGCAATCCAGAATTCTTCTTTAATTGTAAATTTGTATGTTATGTCTGTCTTTTCAATGATAGAGAAACAATTAAAATTATGTTTTTGATTACAATGATTGTTATTTAACAAGTATTTCTAAATTGAAAATTTTATCCAGAAGCAGATGTTCCCTTACACATTCACGGAAATGATAAAATATCTTGCCAGTATAACTAACTTTACTGTTAACACTTAACAATTTATATCTCTGAATAGATTCCTGAAATTCATCAAATCAAAAACATCCTTTTCTGATGAAATATGCAATTTAGATTTCACTGGACAATAATTTTTAATAAAAAAAATATTAAGTTGTTGAAAGGTTGTGATTAGAACATTTATAATTGCACGATTCTTTTCTTGATTGTTTATTTGAAATTTAAAACAAACTTCAATTATTTTTAACTTCTACTATTTCAGCTTTGTGGTTCCATAATGTGATTTCTGAAGAATTTGGAGTTGCAGTTAATGTGTTCTGGAAACACTTGGATTCAAGCTTGTACTGTCAGAAAGACCCATATGGTAATAAAGATCCAGTGGCAGTGATCAGTGCCTTTCAGATTGTGGATAGGGCAGTTAAAGCTCTTGAATGTCTGCCAAAGGAATACCAGGATTTTTATGGCCGTATGCTGGTGTCACGAATTGAAAAAAAATGTTATCTGAAGGACTTAGAAGAAAATGAATTTACTAATAAAGATGATTGCTGCGAAAGTTGATAAAATATTGTTTATATTTGTCTTTGATTTTCTAGATAGGCTTTTATTTTACAAATTTCTAGTATGAAATTTCAAAAATCTCCCTTAATCAGCTGACAACTTTCTGTGATATGATATCAAATATCTGAGAGGAGGTCCTAACCTAATGTTTAGGGAATTTAAATGAATTGTCCAATCTATTCATCTGTCAACCTACACTGAACATGTCATCATCATCAGTCACATGTCCAGGTGCAGTTGTAGGGTCACTGCATAACTGTCACTTGACCAGTTCCCTCCATATATCTGGGTTTAAAGCTAGAGAGGTATATCTTGGGTAAGTAGACCTGTCTGAGATCATCTCTCTTCAGGTCAAACCATAACCAAAATCTACCAACTTGAAAGCTTACCTTGGTTACAGACAATCCATTGATTCCATTGGGGGAACACTCTGCCCTGGACATTGATTTCAGTTTAGGAAATCCTCCATCCAGTGATGTTATCATCACTGCATTGGCTACATACATAGCTATGGAGCCCAGTCTGCTGCATTGTGTTAGATGGTCTTTGACCCGACTGTGACAGGGTAATGACCCTGAAATCAACATTTTATTAGTAGAAATGTAAAAATGACATTTAAGGCTTAAAATATAAATAAACAGAAAATTAAAACCAGTTTGGCAAATTCAACTCTGGCTTCAGGAGAGTACAAACTCTGGACCAGAAATTAGAAGACAAAAATGAGAAGTTATGTTAATAGTTGATATAGTAAGTTTAATGTATTTTCAAGTGCAGATATCGGTGTGAAATAACTCTTGGCCATAACGGGGGTTAGTGTGCTGATAGGTGGCACTTGGATATGCTTTTTATGAACCCTACCTGGGTGGTTACAGTGTCTGTTTAAAAGGGTTATTACAAGGTTTAAAAACTGATAAAATTAATTTGAAACTGATTACTACAAAGAAACCAGATGTCCCTTTTCTATGACAATCATCTGCAATTTTTATAATTATCATTATATTGATTTATGGCAAAGAATCCTTCACCAGTAAGAAAGCCATCTGGTTAATAAAGATGATAAAATGTGAGCAATGGGCATTGTAAATTATTTTCTAAAACCTGGTGAGGTAAAGTGAAGTCATTAATTATTGTTATTGGGGGAAGATTTCCCCATATAAGCAAGCTCAGCAGTCTTTTTCTGTGAAGGGAGCAAATGAACCAGATTCAATACCACCTGCATTTTGCCAAAGACAGTGAATAGATAGAACCCTCAAGCACCATTTCATAGAAGTTAAATTCTGTAGACTTATATTTTTTCACTTCACATTAAATTCTGTTAAATTTACAGAATGCATTTGGTTCATTTATCAAAGAACTTTTCTCAGCCTCAAGCCAACCACCAACACTCAACCATAACCAAAGGGTTACTATATTCTGTGTGAGATCAATTTCATTGATTTTTGGCAGGGACACATTGACAGAATTTGGGTTCAACTACTGATGATCGCCATCAACAAGGCAAATGGAACTGAAAAGCCTTGTGGGTACTTGTTCCCAGGCATGACATAGCTGATACTGACAAATTACCAGGTTGTATTAGAGTGTTGTGACAAGGAGCTGACTACAACTCCAGCCCATACTGTTATACTACCAGAAGGTTCATTTGGCCTTTGCCAAGCCAGGTTTTGTTTTTAATCCTGTTATGTTTCTAGTTACTCTCCTCACCAGAAAAGCCTGGTGGGGGAACTGGTTTAGTTTCCAATGACATGCTCATGCAGCAAGTGTTAAATAGTACCAGTAGAGTAACCTGATTTTAAATGATAAGAATTTTATATTTCATATATCACTTAAAGTCATTTCAGGAAATAAAGAAACTTATTTTCTATTATTCTTCTTTCTTTGAGAGAACTATTTCACACTTTAATACTTTTACTGCTGTGGACGTACTTATACATCTTTATGAAACTTATATTGCCTGCTGTTGATATATATATTATTATTATTATTATATTTATTAATGTTTCACCCCATGCAAGGCTGTAAAGCCACTAAAACACAAGGGTTTACTGGGTGTGGAAGAACTAGGAACAGAAACATTACTAATGAGTGGGAAAAAAAGAGTTATCAGGAGGACAGTAGATAGTGATTGACATTGCGTTTAAATTTTTGCAGATTAAAGTTGGTTGGAAGAGAGTTCCACGTGTGAGAAAAGAAACTGTTAGCATCACATTTATGGTTACATCTAGCCAACTCAACTGTAAATTGATGAGATCTTGATGCCAGTCTAGTACTGTGCTTAAATTCAAAAAAAGTCTAGGTACCATAGCGAAGAGCTTATCCGAACAATTACCATGAAAGTATTAATAGAAAATAGAGAAGCAACCTTACAGTGGTGTGAACGTGATTGAAGCTGAGCTGCCAGATCAGGACTGATAATATTGTTGATTCTTCTTCAGATTTTATCAAGGAGCTCAAGGTAAATAGCAGGGGAACCAGACCATATGTGGCAGCAATATTCTAGGCATGAACAAGTGGTAGACATAGGTATGTATGATAGATTCTGGAGAGAAAAATTATCTCGCACAACACAGTGAACTAACTTTCTTAGCATTTGACCTAGCAATAGAGTCTTTCCACTTCATGTCAGCTGAAAACATTAGCCTGAGAAGGTACAATGAGTCACTTTCCTGGAGGTTAGCATCAGCCATGCTGATGGAAAGCAACGAGTGGTCTCTCAGATGATTAATTGACAGAACTTTAGTTTCGGAGTTCTAGCAACGGACTTAAAGTCAATTGGAAGGTTAAAGATGTCAATCCAAGGGCCATCATGAAGAAACTCATAGAGTGAGTTCTACACAGCATGCCGGTAACAGAAAGAGGTCTTATGAATAGAGGGTTCCTGTTTAATGGATGTTATATACATTTTCAATATGTAATTATGTCTAAATATATATATATATATATATATATATATATATATATATAGATATATATATATATCTTGTTTTCCTGACTGCTAGAAGTCCTCTTCGATTGTTCCTGTCTTCAAGAACTCTGGCAACCCTCTGACCCTTCTAACTACCATTCTATCAGTCCCTACCCCTCTTCGCAAACTCAGAATGAAGCCCTAATCAATACCGGAGTGGTTAACCCCTCACATCCCATGATCTGCTCTCAGACAACAAGCAATATGGCTTCCGCTTTGCCCGATCTACAGCTGATGTGCTTACGGCCATCACTGAAACTGTCTACCAGGCTCTTCAAAATAACGGGGAAGCTCATGCCGTGGCCCTAGACATCTCCAAAGCGTTTGATAGGGTTTGGCATGCTGGCCTTCTTTGCAAGCTCCAGGGTTATGGCATTACAGGTCGATTGTTTGACCTAATACAATCATTCCTGTCAAACCGTGAATTGAAGGTTGTTCTCAATGGATTCTCCTCCAGTTCCTATCCCACGAACGCAGGTGTTCCTCAAGGCTCCATCCTAGGCCCCACTCTATTCCTTATTTATATAAATGACCTTCCTGATGCCATAAATTCCCAAGTTGGCATCTATGCAGATGACATCACAATTTATTCCTTCCTCAAAAACAAATCTACACCTCTCGCCTGTGGAACTAACCTGGCCAGTGCGTCCCTGAAAAATAATCTCCTCCATTCAAATGTAATGTAACTGGGGCTAGAATTGGCTGGTCAACTGAAAAGGACCTCCTCAAAAACAAAACTGCTCTCTATTAATCACCACAGAGATCCTTCCCTGCCCTCCATTAGAATGTCTGACGCTCAACTTTCGAGAGCACCTCTCTGCAGCTGCTCGGCCTCATGTTGACTGCTGACCCGAGATGGAACAAATACATTGAATCAATTGCTTCGTCCACCGCAAGGAAAGTTGGCTCCTGTGCCTGCGCCAAAATTTTTTCTCCTGGAATCGATACAAATTACAAATCTACAATTCACCCTTGCATGGAGTATTGCTGCCATATATGGTCTGGAGCTCCTTCTGTTTGCCTCGTGGTTCTTGATAGGCTCCAGAGGCGGATATGCAATATAATTGGCCCTGCTCTGGTATCTCGTCTACAGTCACTTTCTCACAGACGCTCCATCGCTTCTCTCTGTCTGTTTTACAAATACATTCATGGCAATTGCTCCGAGGAGCTGTATTCACTGGTTCCCAGACTTCATGAGTTCAAGCGCCCTAAGAGGCTGGCATCCCGCTCTCACCCCTTCACTGTCGAAACTCCTAAATGTAGCTGTCTCTTCTACTCCAATGGCCTCATGTCTTGCACCTCTTGCCTGTGGAACTCCCTTCCCTATTCCAGTTTCCCTGAGAGCTATAATCTCCAGCTATTCAAATGTAATGTCAATCGACATCTCCAGTTGTCTTGATCTATCCCCTAGCCTTCTCCTCATCCTTTCTTCTATCACTCCTATCTGATCTTGCTCCAAATTTTCTGTAACCACTTGCGTCCTAGTGGCTTCTCGCCTTGCTTGGGGTGAAATACTTAAAAAAAAATATATATATATATGAAATAAAGTATCTTACTTTTTATTATTTTTCTTTCTTTGAGAGAACCATTTCACACTTTAACACTTCTGCTGCTGTGGACATACATATATGTCTTGAAACTTACATTGCTTGCTGTTGATGCATATATACATTTTCAAGATGTAATTAAGTTTCTCTATATATATATAGAGAGAGAGAGAAAGAGAGGAAATAAAAAACTCAGTTTCTATCATTTTTCTTTCTTTGAAAGAAGCATTTTACACTTTAACACTTCTGCTGCTGTGGACAAGTTTATAAGTCTTTATGAAGCTTACATTGCTTGCTGTTGATGCATATATACGTTTTCAACATGTAATTAAGTCTCTCTCTATATATATATATATATATATACACACACACACACACACACACATATATATATAGGAAATAAAGAAATTTGTTTTCTATCATATTTTTTTTTTTTGAGCTATTATTGTCTTTGTGATGATTGGCGATATAAGGTATAGTCCTGGTCT